ATATACAAATACAAATAATATTTTAATGGATAAAACTAGTTATGTGTGATATAGTCTCAGAAATGTTAAATAGTCCCTCCCGTGCAACTACATGTAGTGGCCAATAATCTGATGATAAACATGGACCTGGATATGTAAGCCGGTTAGTCGAGTGGCACTAAATGTCCTTTGTTTTCATAAACTATTTTGTTCACATTACAAGATTAAACGATATTATTTTCAAGGACCCCCTGGTCGATATTAGTTTTGGTTACTAAACGAACTCATTGTAGCATTGAGGCAGCCCCTCTCAATTAATAATAGTTCTATTAATTTCATATATCCTTCTTATGCCAATGATTTTATGGTAACGCCACCTACATCAAAAACATTACATTTGGGATTGGTCCTGGATTATCTTACAGTCTTACAGACTATATATTGTATATTTTTATATTTGATTATCGTGTATGTAATGGTGTATAGCTTTATATCATATGTTTACGATATCGTACTCTCAACATAAACTAATTATAATACAAAGAAAAAAAAATCAGCCTAGAATCCTAACATTCTGTGTAGCTTCATTTTCTGTGGAAAAACATATAATAATATTATAAAATTTTAACAACAAACATAAACTTAAGTTTTTTAAACAAAACAACCCCGACTATTTTTGTCTTGTGTCAAGACAGCCTCCTCAGATGATATCATACTTGTCATTGGTGATCGAATTAAGGGATTTGTGCTACAGATAAGCCTTTGTTACTTTTTATAAGTAAACATCCAGTCGGCTAAAGCTGTTGTTTGATAGAAATCACTTTAAACAAAGACAGTCGTTACGGGGGCCTTTGTTCTCTAAAAATAATTCACAGTAGGGGGGTTGCTATAATCAGAAGTAAAGTGTAAGGTATACTATAATAAAATGCGCTATAAAACAAAGACAGATATTCATCATTTATGTGTTTTTTTCTTAAATACTTTAATAGTTAAATAAATGAAAAGCATCAAAATAGTCACTTACTTATGTAGTATATCACTTGTATTACTTTTATTATACGAACATAACCTTTGCATTAATTTAAAAGAACATGTAGTTTTCCGAAAGGGTGCCACGTTGACTCAATGAGTAGGATGTTGGCTCGCTAACTTGGAGGTCCCGTGTTCGATCCCTGCGTTGGCCAAGAATGTTTATCGAGATTTTCCGGCGTAGTTCCCCCTTGTCAGCGGTGTAGAACTGAAGGCCTGGCAAGGGACAACGTATAGTGGTTCGGATGGAAACAAAAACCGAGATCCCATGTACACATTGGCGAGCACGTGAAAGAACCCTTGACAGTTGGAATTCGAAATAAGAGTAGGTCATAATTCGACTGAAACATCTCTGAACCGGTCTTAAAAACACAATTGATGGGGCTTCCTCAGATACATTGTATAACATTCTGATCATATCTTTGAAACTGTTACAGCTTATGGTTTCTGAACCGATCTCAAAAACCCATTTGACCGGAAAGCAGGTTACACACAAAACAACCCCCTATACCCTATCTAACGATTTTGTAAGACTTGTGCTACATTTAAACTAAAATTTTCAGCTTTCAGATATTAATTTGCGACTTTTTTATTAGCTAAATGACTTTATTTTGTTATGACCCATCACTTTTTAAAGTAAATCATAATTTGTCATGGTTTTGAATTATGAAGAAGGACGAACATCGATTTCAGGAAACAGCTAGGCAATGGGTGAGCGATATGGTAGTCACCTTAATGACTGCATTATTCCGCGCTGTTTTACTCCACGAAAATCGAGCACCTACACATTTCATTAGTTATTTTGAAAGAATCCATTTTACTGGTGTATACTAAACAAGATCGATCACAAATTAGAATTCTGTTAGGGTTTCTATATAGTCGTGATTTTGTGACGGGTGAATAACAAGATAATTCCATAGTGAAGTCGGTTACCTAAAGTGACCTTACAACCCTATAGACACCCTTATACCAGGGGCGTGCTGGCAGGGAGTTTAGGAGGACGGTGTCCTCCCAGGCCCCCATTAAACAATAAGTCCACCCGTATAAGCGGACCCTCCTGAGAGCTCTAATTTTCACGCGGAATCCCCTAAAAAAATTGAGAGTGCGCACGCGAAAAATCATACATACACAACGATTAGTAAAATATATTATGCTGACGTGCAAATGTCTGTCACCTTAAGGTGAAATGGTCTTTGATACATGTATTCATGCCTCGATATGTATAAGATGCAATTTATTATTTGGATAGAAATACATTGTATTAGCATTATATTAAGCAGACCTGTCATGAGTGTCTTGTGTAGTACAGTAGTATGTCTTATAGTCAAAATAGCAGCATAAATTTGGAAAATATGATACCTAGATTTCTCCCAGAAGTGCTTGCAAAACGCGTTTCCCGTTGTCAAATTTCAAAAATTTTCGGGGAGAGAACCCCCCCAGACCCCCCTACCAGCGGCGCGCCTTCGGGGCCAGCACGCTCCTGCCTTATACACGGCCGTGGTCAGATTAGAGTCATTGTCCTTGTGGAACGTCCTTCAACTGGTCGAACTAGACATCGATGGATAAAATAATGGACGGTTTTGGGTACTTCGTGACAGACAGTTATTTTTGATCTGTTAATGTTTCAGTCACAACCGATCGTTATATATAATTTTCTTGAAACAGACAATAATTTATTGTATATACCAGCGAAAACAATGATCTAGTGCACGTAATCTATTTAACTATGTTCCTGCTTATTACATTCCGGTTATTTCGATACATTTCATAATTAATCATGCTGCTGGACATCGGAAGAACTGGTTAAATAAAAGCTATAAAAAGATAAAAATGGGCGTATCAAATGGAAATTTGAAAAGATCGAATGAGTTTTAGTCAAACAAATATATTTATTTATTGGGGTGGGAGGGGGTCTAGTGGTTTAAACGCGTGCGCATGAAATCACAAGGTCTGTCATATTTGTCATAACCCGCTTGTACGTGACAAGGAATAGGATCGCCTGTCCAACCCCGTGGGTTTTCTTCGGGTCGTACGGTTTACTACCACTGCTAAACTTGAAATAAAATTGAACTATATGTTAGTCCCGAAACGGCCTAGTTTGTGTCGGGTTGACGCTACCTCTCCCCCCTCTCCCTCTCTCTCTCATGGACTTGGCTATACTTTTATATGTATATATGACCAGTTTTAAGCAAATATATTTGTTTATTTCAACGCGATTTCCTTGGAACATTGCTAATTTATCAACTAAACTTATCCACCCCCCTTTCTTGTTAGAACGACTTTAATATGAAAAAATCTTAAATAGTACACGATTGTAATCCAGCCGATACAGTTTAAAGAGCTGTCTGATATATACTATTCAAAAAAAGTAGGGGATATTTGATTTTGGGGGCATAATACTAAAATATGCAAATGACTACGAAAAAAGTCACTATAGAACCTAACAGAAGAAACATTTCCAGTTACATGTGACGCCCAAACGCACCAATAGCTACCGCATGGAATGCAGGTGATGCTTGGGATCATCATGGGGGTCCAACCCAAGATTTGCACGACTCTGACTTTGAATGTTACAGTCATTGTGGCATTGAATTCCAGGGTGGAAACATCAGTTTAATTGTTTTAGTGACCAGAAAACAAATTTTGATATGCGTCTGCTTACCCAAAATGAAAGGTTACGTGCCCTTGGCATGCTACAGATCGGCACAACACAGGCGGTTGTGGCGCGGACGATGAATGTTTCTCAGTCTGTCATAAGCAGGCTATGGTCCAGATACCGTGATACACAATCTGTACAGGACAGACCACGCTCAGGTCGACCAAGGGCGACAACTCAAGCCCAGGATCGATTTATCCGTACCTTGGCCTTGAGAAATCGTGTCATCACAGCAAATCAGATCAGCGCTCGTCTTCAAACAGACACTGGTGTGAGAGTGAGTGGCCAGACGATTCGGAATCGACTGCATAGGGGTCACCTTCGCGCCCGACGTCCTCGCGTGATCCCTTGTTTGAGAGATCATCACATTCAGGCAAGACGTCGTTGGTGTAGGGATCGTCAACACTGGGATAATCGACGCTGGAGCAATGTGATGTTTTCAGATGAGTCAAGGTTCACTGTTGATTTTTTGGACAGACGTAGGAGGGTGTGGCGTCGTTGAAACGAGCGCTTCGAAGACGTTAACGTCATCAGACATGATCGATTTGGGGGTGGTTCTGTTATGGTGTGGGGAGGCATCACTGTTGCTGGAAGAACGGCTTTACATGTTGTTGCAGGGCGTGTTACAGGCCAGTACTACCGGGACAACATCTTGGCAGTCCATGTTGTGCCGTTCGCACGACGTCATGGCCGCCGTTTCATCTTCCAGGATGACAACGCAAGATGTCACAGGGCCAGGATCGTTACAGGTTACCTCCAACAACAGAACATCACCACATTACCTTGGCCAGCACTGAGTCCCGACCTCTCCCCCATCGAGCATGTCTGGGACATGCTTGGACAGAGGTTACGTCAACGTCAACAACGTCCCGCCAATGTCCAAGAACTTGCTGCTGCGTTGCAACAGGAATGGGACAATCTGGACCAAAATGACCTTAGACGTCTCATTAGGAATATGCCACGTCGGATCAATGCTTGTTTGGCAAACAGAGGAGGATTTACCCGTTACTGACTTGGTTGTGATGCTGTGGTAACTTTGCTGTTTGACCCCGGGTATCATTTTACCCTTATAATGGTCAGTCTGTGCCTTACTTAGTCTAACGATCATTTGGAATAAATCGATGAATGTGAACTTCATTTCATTTTGTCATTTGTTTCTTCGTCAGTTTCATTAGGTGACTTTAATAACACTTAAAAATCAAATATCCCCTACTTTTTTTGAATAGTATATATTCTATTTTTTGTTAGTAAAGCAGCTTTGTTCGGCCCATATCACCTCTAAATGAAAAGTTGACAGTGGACCTACATATACTCAAGATATTCGTTTTTCTTTCAGTTTTTATTCTATGATGTTCAGCAAAAATACCACGCTCTTTGTCTGACAGTTAATTACTTGTACGTAGAAGATAATAGATTCAAACCAACAAACTGCCCTTTTAAAGGTAGATAGATTTACTATAAAATCCAATTTAATGAACAACAAAAAGCCAAAACCTCTGTGATAGCCTGAGTATTGAGCTAAAAATAGACCATAGATCTTAGTTATTGTCGTGATTCATCAACATGCATAAATATATTTTTCTTATTTAATCAGGATTGACAGTAATATACACCTTTGATTTCTTTTCTTCTTGGAAAGGGCATTTTTATGAAAGCACTACCTATTGTTAATGAGTAAAATAACATGGACATTATAATATGACCAGAGCTGAGGTTTAGATGCACTATGTATATATATTGTTATTATGTTGTCTGGTTCATCAATATTTAAGGATTCTTTTTTTGTCAAGAAATATTATGCCAGACAACGCGGCGGACAATGTGACTTAAAATCTCTATTAATAAGTGCAGGAAGACCGCGCTGCACGCAAATAATACCTTGAAGACAAACCGGCGGACAAGACACACAGACACACAAACATTGCAAGCAAAGAACAACACACGTATAAAGCAAATCAAGCTGGTGGATTGGGGATCGACCGTAAACATCCACTGCGATACACAGTTCCGGGCATATTGTGATACAGGTTTCGCTCGAAATGAAAACAAATTAGTAATAAGGGGGACAATCCTCCAAGAAAACAAGAAAAAAAGGGGGGGGGGAATAAATCCCAAATGTTGTATGATACTGGTGTGTCATGATCGGCCATGTGCTGCAAGAAATCTCGATGTTAGCACAAAGAAGAAAACGCTATTATCATATTAAGTGCAAGAGGACCACACCAGGCATAAACAATTACAGCTGCCATTGCACCACATGCCTAAAACAGATCGTAGCAAAAGATCCCATGTGGGTATAGAAGCCCTTTTAGTGACATTCATATTATCTTTTGGATATCGAACTTGTATGCTAGTGGTTTCTTATGCAATGAGTATTGAAATGTGTGCCATTCATACATGGCGGCTTTCCAATTTGTCTGTTCTTTTCTAGCAAGTAATTTATAGTATACTATCATCATTTCACAAACCGGATATCTTTATTACGCAGGATTGCCATTCCTCTTTTACCCAAAAGAAATACTAGTTATTGTCCAGGGGATATTTACTATATCTTCAGGAATATTATACAACTAGAGTAAACACATCTTGACAATAACCCACATTACTCTCGTGTTTTATTGCAGTGCATGTGTGAAATAGCTTTATTTAACGTCCGTTTCCACCGAGGTGATATCGCAGACAATGTTGCAGTGCGTATGTGAAATAGCTTTATCTAACGTCTGCTTCCACCGAGGTGTTATCGCAGACAGTTACATGTTATACATAGTGGGATTGTTTACAATGTGTTTTGGATAATTAAATATATATGTACAGAAAACAATAAAGGACTTGACGAGACGTTATATAACGAGTGCAAAATAAAGAAGTGCAGGGCGGTGCAACTCTTCCTTGGGGCTTGTTGGTGAGTGTAGGGCCTGGTCCATTCTTCCTTCTATTTGTTCTTCTAGTCCGGTATGGTAGTTGATTTCATCTTTACTTCTGTTTGTTCGTTCCTTTTGTTATTCGTTCTCCGAAGGAAGAATCCAGCACCTGAAAAGAAAGGAGAGAGAAAAAAGAAAGTGGGGGGGCGAAAAAAATCAATATGACTATCTAAATGTATGTTCATACGGTTCATTTATGTATATACTGTATATATATAAATAGTTTGGAAAATAATCTTTATTTTTTAAAATTTCATATGCAATTACAATACAACATTTAAAGTAGTTACATGGGTCGTACAATCAATCGTAATTTAAGAATGTTTTTCATATAGTATAATAAAAGATACGCAAGTTGGTTTGCTTTACCCTCTCTGGGGTCATTTTTTGCAGTGCATGTCAAAAACATTTATATAGTGCAAGTGTCCCAGGACATAAAGGCAACGACATATCAACATGGCGTCTACTCAATACATCCAAATCCTTGAGCCAATTTCTATCCTACTTGGCCCTGTTATTACTTTGAAGTATTTTGGCACCTTCCGGGTTAAGTATGTTAAATCTAGGATTACAGTCCAGACGAGATAGACCGAAATGTTGGCGATATCTTAGTACGGATTAAAGGAAGGTTTTGTGGTAGTTCTCTATAAAAAAAAGGAACAAATTGAATATACTGAAATATTAGGAATACAAGAAATTTGTGAAATTATTCCAGTTGCGATAGAAATAAAATAAGTGTCAAGCGTAAATAAAAGGTGGCTGATTTGTTGATTCTCTAATCGGTCTGTGTGACAGACATGCCAAAACCGTTCCCTAGGGTGTGACAGACATGCCAAGTAAAACAAGATCGTTCCCAAGGTGGGTTCGTTTTATCATGTAGATTCTGGTAGTCGATCACTCCCTCTAGTAAATGGTAAGTATCTGATACCCGGAACATGACACATGTTATAGTTTTATATGTATGTTTCTGTCTCTAAATAGTGATGGGTAACGTTATTGTAGCACGGATATATTTAGCAATTATTACTGTAGAGTCTATAACAATATATATATATATATATATATATATATATATCTAGATGGTGCTATAGCTAAAGTTATTAGCTCGGACATATTTAGTGGTTATCGCCGATAAGACGTGTAGTATTTATAACACTATCTCTGTATCTATATGGTACTAGGTAAAGTTATTAGTTATTACATATTTAGTGGTTATCGCTGATAAGACGTGTAGTATTTATAACAATATCTCTGTGTCTATATGGTACTAGGTAAAGTTATAATTAGCTCTGACATATTTAGTGGTTATCGCTGATAAGACGTGTAGTATTTATAACAATATCTCTGTATCTTGAAAGTAATTTTAGCACGAACACATTTAGCAGTCAATAGCTCACAAAACAAGTAGTGTTTATATAAACAACAATGTTTATGCATCTAGACAATAAATTAATGTTAATGCCAGTCAGTTTTTATTTATTTCTGATAAATAATTCATGGTTTGTTAGTCTTGATCAGATTTGAGGATTCTAATTATAAAGACTTTTTTCTGTTTATTTAAGTGAGTACAACTTTTATAGAAAGCAAAGAAAAGAAACAACAACAAAAAAAAAAAGTGATTTAAATCTGGAAAATAGATCTTTAACATAGAGTGACTTACTGATTGAAAAGATGATATTCTTTAAGAAATGAAGTTACGATGTGTTCATACATCAACTGTGTCATAAAATCAATGAAGGCAATAGAAACAAGATGAAATAGAGATGATACCGGTTGAATAATCCGATAAATATTTTAAAGCTTTTATATAATATTTGATTAGATCTAACTATATTCATAAATTGTGTCTCGGTAAATTCAACAGATATATTTTGTGTACTAATATCTGCGTTTTGTAACTTAATTTATATTAAAGTTCATCTTAAATTTGATGAAATCAAAATCGTAAAAAAGTGTATTCAATTGGTTGGTCTCTGTTGAAGCATCACATTTGAATTCAGACGTGTGCTGCATAAAATGTACATAAATCATTTTTTGTTTTAATACGATAATATGGCCCATCTTCAATTGTCGCCGTTTCATTAGTTGACTATAATGGACCGCAATTTTTATGTTGCACTTTAACTCAACACTAAAAGGGTCTGAGCATGTTCTTCTAAGAAGTGGTATTTCCCTACAGGTCAACTGCCTTTCAGATATCGATATTATCTTCAAGGGTTACTCTCAGTGGTGACAGGAAAAGACTTGTTTGGGCTGTAGCAAAATTATTTGGCTTCAGATGGGCATACGTCAACGTGGCAATGGAATCTCTGACAGAAGAAACCAAGTTGGAAAATACGGAGGAACTTTGTCGATCAATTAGTGGCCGAGAGCCCCATAGGCTAAGACATCGTGGATCTACTATGTTAAGTAAACTCGTGTACAGTTTTTGTTGTTAAAATTTTATTTTAATTCGACAAATGGTTATACTAATTTGATGTATTTACGCCTTGATACTCCCCCAGCCCCACCCTCGCCAAATTCGTGTCAGAACCTACCTGTTTTATATTAACCGATGGACTTAAAAACGAAAAGAATGGAAATAAAATGGATTCTATTTCGCTAAGCATATACAACTTCATGGTCATATATCCGCCTCTCATATAGTAATAAACATTATAGGGTAATTAATTGGGTACTTCGAGATCAAGGTTGGGATTCAATATAAATACCAATCAAACTGTCTGTATTACAATGGGTTAGCTTGTGTTAAATCTTTTGATTGGTTGCTCAGAGCTAGGTGATGTCAATTGAGGGTCAAACTAATAAACTTATTTGTCAATAATCTTGGAAGATAATTAATTAGAATAAGACTCCCTCTCCGGGTTCTGCAGTTGCCTGCCACTGCTAATGAACCCAACGTGCAAGCCAATTATGGGTATAAAATTAACCATAAAAAATATGTCAGTCCAGACATGACAGTTTGTGTTGAGTGGATGTGAAGTCCCAATTCCCTCTCTTTAAAGCTACTGTTAGCTACATGCAGACAGCGTGTCTTACCCAAAACACCTGGAGCAAGCCTATTTTGTGGCTTCCTCTGACAAGTTTCTTAGGAAACTCTTGTCTACGATATCACCGTTGGTAGAAGTGGACGTAAAACTCAAGGAACTAACGAACAAACGCCACCACTATCCTATTCTCAAATGTATCGGTCAATGTGCAAAATTAAAGCGTTTGCTAATATAGTCTAAAGTACGACAATTAATATCAATAATTTCAGCTAAAGTTTTTAATGGAACCGCTTTAAATATATAAAACGTTTCAATTTGTGATATTTATGGATTTTTTTTAACGTACCATATCTACTATATTAAATATGTGTTTGTCAAAGGAATAAAGTAAACCTACTTCTTAACTAGGAATTTACATTAGAAGCTTAATCAATTTGTTCATTTTATTATCGTCAGTAAGAATATTGAGCGATGCTAAATTCAATTGACATAAGTTGGTTGTTGAACTAAATTTCAGGTTAACTCTAACTT